CCTGTAGATAGATTATATGTGTCTTCATTTTATGATGTATCATTTATCTCCTGGATAGAAATGATCTGGTAAAGGTTTCTAGCAGCTTAGAATGAAGGAAAGAGTGAAAGGAGGGAATGACATCAAAAAAACCTATTGGGACACAAAGCTTGCTACAGTTCTGTCCTTAAAATATGAAACCGGCTAAAGCAGCTGAGACAATTCACATAGGAGACATATGGAATTTGATAACAAGGATAAAGGAAAAATTAAATCATAATTCAATCGTCTGCTCTGTTACTAGCAATGTGGGACATGTTCAAGAGTGCCTGTGTTTATCTGTCTCAGCAGGATGGTTCAAACTCCAGTGTTTGATACCAAGTCTATTGCTCTGTCCTGTGGAGAAAGAGGCTTCTAAAGGGCAAATTGTATAGAATTAGCCAATGAGAGTCATTAGACCAGCTGTGTCTTTTCAAACATCCACTTCTCTTTGGACTGCAAGTAGCTGAGTTGAGTCTATGCTAGGCAACTCATAGTTTGAGATGTACCAAGACTTCCCTCAGTGGTTTCACTCACTGCTGGCCTTTTTCACCTGTGTTACAACTACAAGGAGTTAGAGAGCTTGTGCCAAAGTGGAAAACAGATCAAATATACTCACAATATATCACAATAGCCAATGTCCTGCTTTTCCAGGATATACTTTTAAAACCAGATTAGAGAACAGACTGAGTAAGAGCCTGTTCTCTATTTAACTTACTAAAACTGAATAGAATAGAAAAATAAACAGCATGAGAAAATCAACAATTCTGGAGAGGCTCTGAATAGCATCTTGCATGTAAAAACAGGGGAGGACTCAAAACAAGGAAGCAGTCTGGACAAGGTTGTGACATTGTTACTTTTTTTTTTTTACCTTTACTGAAAATAAGTTTGTGTTGAACTTTGCCTCAACAAGCACCAAACTGATGAGACACTACTGGGGTCTTGGGGGATATTTTATTTCCAAGCAATGAAGCCTAACTGAGAGGCAGTCATTCAGCTACCTGCGCTGGGACTATTCAGTGCACACACCTGCTTTGCTACATAGAAATTTTTTCAGGAGGCAATTCAGTTTCAACTACTTTCAAACCAGAGAACTCATAAGAGTATCTGTGTTTTACTAAAATAGCATGTTTCATTGGCCCAATGGTTCCTATGTAACATTTTAGGTTTCAGAGTAGAAAGAGATAAACAGTCCTACAAGCAGTGGCCACTATTTTAGCTACAGATTTAGGATAATCTGAAGGCTATGCTACCAAGCTTGTAGGACCCTTCTGATGAGGAAAGGGTCCAGGTGACTTGGGGGATAGAGAAATAATGTGTCTGAGTGGGGATCTAAATCTTTTACACAAGGTACTGTCTATTGTGACCAATCCTTTGTGAATTGTGGAGTTTAAAATTGTACATAAAAATCTTGTATCAGTTCTCGGGTGGGGTTGGGGTGGAGGATGGAGACATTAAGGTATTTAGGCCTCAGATATTTCCCATAGTTTAAAGGGAGTTTTTCTTTGCACTACCAGGATTTTAGTTTTCTGACATATCCTCTGACTCTCAAGAACAAGGCGAATAGATAGCAGTCATTTTACATTTGTGAAAGGCATTATTGGGCAAAAAGTTTGTACTTCAGAAGGAATTTTGGTGTGAGGAGTGCTGAAATTCATTTCTGTGTAACTATGAATCATTGTAAAAAAGGGACCTTTATTCTCCTGTAACTTCGAGTGAGCCACCACTGTGAGACACATGAAAAATTATTCAGACCTTATATCTTATTAAACTGAACTACTTTTGTTACTCCTTGATTTTTAGAGCATCGAATTCTGTAAAAGTTACAGGTAGTGATGTTCCCAGAATAATAAAAGTACCCAGAATGCACAGCCATAAAAGATCATTGTCCTCTTGTCAGGAATAAAACAAGGTAAGAGTCAGACAAAAGTCAAATCAAGTGTGTGTGGTACCCTGTTTGCTAGACTTGGGCTTCTTTGGGCTGCAAGAATGGGGATTTGAAGGACAGGAAGGATTAAATGCAGGAGATATTCCTGTCCTATAAACAGACTCTCATCCTGCAAATGACCACTTAAAAAAGCAGTAGAGCTTGTTGAGATAGGACAAGGGGCAATGGTTTTAAAATAAAAGAAGGTTGATCCAGACTAGTACTAAGGATTTTTTGTGATGAAGGTAGTGAAGCACTGGAACAGCTTAGGTGGTAAATGCCCCATGCCTGGAAACATTCAAGGTCAGGTGCTCTGAGCAACCTGATCTAGTAGAAGATATCCCTGCTCACTGCAGGGGGGATGAACTAGAGGACCTTTAAAAGTCACTTCCAACCCAAACTATTCTATGATTACAGTAGGAAAAGGAATCAGACTCAGACTGTCATGGACAGCTCAGCCTCCAGCTGAGTATGCAATTGCATTAGCCTATGAAGTCAGATGGATGTATGCAGGCACACAATGTGTACATGTAAGGATATGTTCAAAGCCTTTCCCTCAAGGTCTAGCAAGTGTCTTGAAACCCTTCTTTCTCACTGGCTTTATTAAAGGGTGAGTAGTAAGGGGGATCCATGAAAAACAGGATCCCTGAGTCTGAAACTCTTTATGGACTATATTCACTACTTGAAAACAGTCTTGCCAGAAAACTCCTAGTTCACCCTAGTATTGATATTTCAATAATTATAGTGGTTGGTTCAAAAACACAGCAATCATTAGAAAGAAACCTCACTGCATATGAACTGTAATCAGCAATATGAAACTGTGATTTGCATTTTTTTTAAATAGGCTGTTGTGCTGGTCATCAGTTAAGTCCACAGAAAATAGATTAGATGTAACAACATATATCATGAAAAATACCTGAGCTGAAACCCATGGGATCTTAATTTTTCAGTGTATGATGAGATTCAGAGTTGTTTCACTTACGTAGCTTTAGAATGTAAACCTTCAAGCTGACATTGACACACTAAGAGAAAGCTCTTTAGTATTTGTAAGATCTTGGCACTGTGGCACCTCTTATTGCTAGAAAGATCATTGGGATCCACTATAATGTATAGTTTTGTTAATGTTACTAATAAATTAATGCATTTATTTTATCCTATAACATTTGGAGCTTTATCCTTTTTGTCATGTCGCTCTTAACACTGAACCATGAGAGGAAGACAAGTCTTAGAACTTGAGTACTTGATAATAAATAAAAAACCCCAAAATATATTTAAATGCCAGGCATTGCTACAGAATGCATGGGTGAGGATTAGGTAGCACTTAACTGCCATTACTTGGATTTAAAAGATGTTAAGACTTCAAAAAGAAATTTTATGTTTAATGGAACTTTTATACACAATACAGTTTTTAAACTTGTATTGCTTACAATGATTTCAGTTTTTAAAATTCTATTAGGAAATATATTCATGTTTAGGAACCAAAATACGTTTGCTTTTGGATGACTCAATTCAATGCTTAACCCTAAAAGACACTGCTGTACCATTTTGTTTGGAGATCAGTCAATTCAATTCAGGGAGAAACAAACGTGTTGGTGCTAACTGCGTGTGAACATGCATCTGCACAGAGATCCTTCCACAGAATTCTGAACAAACCTGTATATTAATGTAACGTTTTCATAGTATTGGTATTTGTGTACAATTATACAGTTACTTTATAAGGTCATTCTGAATCCATGTTTTTTCTTACCTAAGATTGCTTTAAGTGAGAGAGAACAGTTTATTTGTGATCTCAAAGGAGAAAGTATCTAATGGAAAAACTTAGTAGGCTGAAAGACATTAAAAATGTTTGACTATAATAGTGCACAACAGTTTATTATATCTCTACTTTTCTGCCAAGGGCCAAGTCACCCAAGGGCACTTCATAAAAAATTATGGTCTGAAGCTGACATTGCAGACAGACTTACCACCTTATCTTCAGGTTAATGTGATAGTGTTGGCCAGTGCTTAAAATCATGCCTGGCAGTGTCACTGAATCATCTGCCAAGGCATTGAGCTTTTTTTACTTCAGTATCTCTTTTCAGTAAAACAAGGATTATTGAGAGATTTCCCACCTAACACAAAACTGTGAAGTAATTTTTTGTTTATAATATGGCTAATAAAAAATAATTTCCTAAGAAAAAATGAATGTTGAGCAGAACTACAATTAAAATTGCTAATATATTAGCTGAATACTTCTTCAAATAGAAATTTCTGTCTGATGTTCTTACGGAGTGATCATTGTAATTTTCTTTTATGGGATTATGGAAGACCAGAATTACCTTTTTTTTGCAGGTGATAACAAAAAATAGACTTGCTCTGAAATGCCAGATTTTTCCTTTGTATCTATAGGGAACTGAGGTCTTCAGTGAGGTAATTTCATGGTTCCTCAATTTTCTGATTTCTTAGTTAGGACCATTATATATTAATAACTTATTGTGTGCCAACAGAGCATTTTGATTAGAATTCAAAAGTAGGATGGATAACAAGCAAAAAAAACCAACCGCCCCAACACACTCAGGAATATTCAAGCATCACTATGGAAAACTAATTTTTCTTCCAGCTTGAAACTCAAAGACTATATAAAAGATTCCATTAGATTCTGCATTATGCTACTGTCAGTTGCCCCATGCTGCACACACTGTTGAATCACCATGTGGCATATTGGTGTAGAGGCTTCTGTCTGTTAAAATAGATGACACAAGGCTAACTCTATTATAATTCCTATTTTCTTGTCCAGACATACTGTTTTTCTTTCTAAAAATGTATTTTCTGCAGCATCTTTGTTACTTTTATGAGAATGAAGTTTCATGAATATTACGTTGTTTATACCACCTATTCTTAAGGTTATAAACCCAATAGGAAACAGCCATACATGGCTATAATTAAAAACAACCAAAGCCAAGGGTCCTTTTGATGTTCCCTTTCCACCCAGTACTTTTAAGATAACTACTTTGTCTTCCTTCTTATATTAAATCAATATAACAATTATCTTTATGTTGTTTCTTTCCTTCCCCAGATGTACATCCAGACTACAACACTTACTATCTCCATGAGTTTAAGTGCTTCTGTGTCTCTGGGCATGCTCTACATGCCCAAGGTTTATATTATCATTTTTCATCCAGAGCAGAATGTTCAAAAGCGGAAGCGGAGCTTCAAGGCTGTAGTGACAGCTGCTACAATGCAAAGCAAACTGACACAAAAAGGAAACGACAGACCAAATGGCGAAGTCAAGACTGAACTGTGTGAAAGTCTTGAAACCAACAGTAAGTCATCCGTAGACTTGGTCAAGAGTGGCAGCACATCTTAATAGATGTATGTTCACAAGAATGCACTTTCTTTTAATAATAAACTTAATTATTTTTGTTGCTTGTCCTGCATGAATCCAGAGATGTGTCAGAATTCATGTACTGCTGAATGCAGGAATGTCTAAAGTTGTTTCAAAGAAATTGATTTTCACAGGAGGCTAGTAGAGAAAAAAAAAAAAGCACAAGCAGATTTTGAAACTCCACATCTTTTAAAAATTGTTTGTTTTAGCTAGTGCTATTTTGATGTGTTGTACATTGCTGTGCCAGTGGTATGTCCTGACAGTTCATGAGATGTATTTATGGTCACCATTGTATATTCAAAACTAAAAGGCTGTTGAAAAAAAACTGTAATGAAAACAGCTAACATTGTTTTTATTTTGCAGTCAGATATGGAAGTGAAAATAATGCTTTTTACCTTTCTACCTTAATATTTGTTGAACTGTTCATTTATCACAACCCATGAGTAACACTTCCCAGCATAATGCTTCCCATCCAGGATTTTGTTCTGGTCTTACTCATCTTGGTACAAAATCATGATCATTCATATGAAGCTTAATCATTACATATGCTGATATATCCTAGATTTTTAATGGGAAAAAAATTCTTTCCCGTGTCAGGAAAGTTCTTGAATCTTGCTGCATCTCTAAGTTGCTCTGGTATAGAAGAAAACAGAGGTTACAGCTCCCATGCCACCACATGACATATCATCTTATAAACTGGACTTCATAATAACAATAATAATCAAATATGAGCAAAGATATTAACCCTATACCCAGTGCTTAGAAATGGAGAATTGTTTTCTATTGAGAAGTTAGATGTCACATTAGATGGGCAGCAGCTGTGATAGCTTACCTTTTCAGTCATTTTACTACAAACAACATAGTTTTTCATTTTTATTGCTTTTGGATGATATTGGTGTTTAAATAGTACTGTTTTGGTTAAGCACATTGAGACAAGGCAGTACCTAGTTTGCATTAAAATATTGTGCTTATTTCTGGAAAATGAACCTCCCACTGAAATCTATTAGTGTTTGCCAGATTGAAGACTATATAAAAGTAGTCCATAACTCTACCATACTATAGTTGCTGATGCATGGAGGATACTGAATACAAACTCTTTTACTGGAAACACTTATGACCCTTCAAAATGTATAAAACTGCTAGAGGAAGCTATTGGCTTATACAGCTTCAGATTGTGACATGTAACAAAGGACAAACGAGAAAGGCATAGAAATTCTTTGCGGATCAAATAATAGAATAGGAATATGAAAGCCTCAGTAATTTTGCATCTCTTCAGAAGTCACCAAAAGAAAACTCAGAGGAAAAGATGCATGGATTTTGCTGAATGTGCAAAATTATAAACTTCCAAGGAGAGGATAAAGCAGGGTTTTTACCGTAGGGTGAGAAAGAGTGTTAATAAGAAAGTCTTGGGTATCTGATGTTTATCTACTGTACCTAATTAAGAAATGCTGTGACTGGTATTCATTATGATTATGCATAATTCATAGAAACAGATGTTACTGGAAGCAAGTCTGTTTCTCCAGTAGTGCAGGGTAATGCTTATTTACTGTGCTCTAAACATGGCTTTAATAGTAACACATCTATATAATTCTGAGCTCACTAGGAGTATATCCTGACTAGGTTTTCATCCATCGTAATGTTTCATAGGCAAAAATTCACTCAAGTCACTTGCACTCCAGATAGCTCTTCCTATGTAATGGAGTTCTAGGCCTCAAGATGAGTTTCTCTCTTCCCTGAAGTAGTTATTGTCAAAACTTTTGAAGGTTCCTATGAATTTTAAGTGCACAATGCAGGACAAGTCCTTTTCACTGTGTTACTTGTAACAACTTCTCGACACCATAAAATTTCTTCTTACACTGACTCCATGTGAGATAGATCTTTCTTTTCAGTGATAGCATCTGAAACTGATTGCAAAATATGAGTCTACTCCTAGTATACCAGAAATGGCAGTGAGCGTTTCCCCCCATTTACTAAGCACAAATACTAGTAATGATAGCAATGCTTATAGCTAGATGAGAGACAGGATGAGAGAGTCACATAATCCCTTTTGCTTCCCATCCAGAGACAACTCTGCTCTTAGTTTGTCCTGTTCCATGTTAACACACATTATTCTATCTTGTCTTCCACATGAATGCGTTCATGGGTTTATTTGTGGAAATAGGTCCATATCCAGTGGAAAACAAATGGTTTCTGGGAAACAGGATAAAAAAACTCATTCAGGTGTGGTTAGAGAAGGCAATGAAAAGTACATTAAATAAATATAGGTCAGATCATAATAATCATTCTACATTGCTTTAGATCCTCGTTTATTGTCTTCTTTTTGCTTCATTCTAACAGCAAAGTAGTAACAGGAGCTGTAAAAGAGTGTTTATTCTCAGAAATATTTTGAGCCAAGTCTATTACTTTTTCTGGCCATCTAGGCTTGCCAAATGTGGTTCATGTTATTATGAAATGCTAATAGTCTTAAAGGGCAGGACACCAGCTGCTGAAGCTTTCAGGTCCCCAAACATGAACTCTAGACTTATTCCATAGAACTATAAAGACACATGCAATATTTATAAAGTAAAAACTCAGAAACATTGTTTGGAGATGAGATTAGTTTTAATATATTTCAAACTATTGTTTACTTCAAATTCCTGTGCTATATTTTTTTAAAGTAACAACACTCAGAACTCAACTGGGTAATTTTTGTTTCTTGATCAACTTTAGATTAATTATATCAAAACTGTTTAATTCTCAGATGCACAAAAAAGTTACAACAATTTAACAAATTACTCTGGATTATATGAGGTATGGTAGCTACTTTTTTTGTATTTTGTATTGTATTCTTGCAAACGTCCTTACATAATTCAGCTTACTGAGTTGTGATAAATCTGATTATGTTACATTGCTGTGGGCTAAAAAGATGCACATGTACATGAGTTATCACAGAACTCAACTCAGCTCATACAGGATAATAGGGTAATCTAACTTAACCTGATTAGGTATCTGACCTTACTTTCAGGAAAAGGCAAAAAAATAAGCTCTGATCTTTCTGTCCTTTTGTTCCCAAGTGTGCAGAGTTTGCAAATGTGAAAACTATTATCTGTTACTTATTAGCTGGGAAAAAAATCTTTCTATGTTTGTAGTTCTTGGTGCCATTTCATCAGTCCTGCATTATTTTGAGTACTTAGCAGACCAAAAGAAAAAATAGAATTCTCTCAGAAATCCAGCTGTGGGAGCATGAGAGAGATCAGATGGGAGCAGTACATCCCATCTGAAAGATCTGAAAGATGTAAATGAGGCTATAATTGCTTCAAGTATCTCAATACATGCAAATAAAGCTATTTCAAGTTGGTGCTCAAATATTGTGATCAACTGTGAGAAAGACTTGCTTTGTGTGCCAAAAGCAGTCCTTTAAAGAGTTAGATTTTTCTAAACACAAAGTACTGGAACTACCTGTGCAAATGAAAGTAAGAAAGATTACGTTTTGTATCTTTCATTTGATTATTCATTCTTATATGTACATTTTTAGGGAAAAAGATTATAGTAATGTGTGAATTAAAGGGTCTGTTTCTGTTGTGTCTTTAAAAATGGCACATGCAGTATTAAATTCAATTACATTCAGAAAATCTAAGAAAACATGACAAAAAGCAAGAAGTAAACTTATTTATACTAATCACTATTAATTTGCATCAATTTTAATGATCCTTTATTTAGTTTAATCTATGATGCAGAAGAGAGAAACTGTCATTTCTCAGCTTCAGTGGTTTGTTCTTCACAAATCATCAGACTGTTGGGCTGAATTTAGGAGTTAGCATGAAGAATGCTTTTCCTATCTATCCCAGTTGTTCTCACCAGATTTTATATAGAAAAAAAGAAATTTAAGAAAGGTGTGGAAATAGAAAATTTGAATCTATAGACCAGGCAACTTTTTTGCCATCCTGTTATTTTCATCTTGCCAGCTGCAATCTTCACTATCATAAGCAGAACATGTCTGTATTAGACGGAATATGAAAGATATTTTGAAAGTCAAATTCCTCTTTATCCAGTGTAACATAGAACTTATTATAGAGTAAAAAAAGAGACTCAGTCCCCCAGCAGTCTGAGTTTCAATGTACCAAACTGATTTAAAATTAGAGAACTAACTATGAGACCTCATGTAACCACTTTCCTCCTCCAACCAATGCATTAACCTTGAGTGATATGACTTGAGTCATATTTTTACAGCATATTTTTCATATCCGAAATAGCAAAGATGTAAGGGCTAATACCTGAAACAAACTTTCATAAAAGATTCCTAGTTGTTCAGTTTTGCAATAGTAGTTCTGTTTAATTCTCTTAACATACCACCTCATTCTGATCAAGAAGTATCAGCTTTGATCAAAAGAAGACATAATCAGCTGACCATCAACATAAGGAGACCATAATTTTCTCCAGATAATATGTACTGTAGGGACTATCTGCTCAGTTTCTCTAATTTGGAGAGGGTTAGGGTTTGTTCCTTTCAAGGAGCAAAAGTCTCCTTCTATATGGACAAACCACCACTAGCTGAAAAATTGTCTTCAAACAGTAGAAGAGAAAGAAGAAGCCAATCTCTGAAGTAAAAAATGTCTATATGGAATTCAGACAAAATAATACCAGGTTGAAATTCTGTTGTGGGTATGCTGAAACCACTCATCCTTTTTCCTTTCTATTAACCTCTGCTTTCTCAAGTCATAAACAAAATAAATGGTCATGAACACTGAAATTGAGATAGTTTTTACATCCTTAAACATTCTTTATTCCATGAACATGGACCATATTGTTTGGAAGTATGGTAGGACATTGTCTGAGTTCAAATGCTAAATATGTTTTTTTTTTCTCCTCTCTTGATTCTAAAAATCCTGAACTTTTTTTTGTTTGTTTGTTTGGTTGTTTTTTTTTTTGTTTGGTTTGGTTTGGTTTGGTTTGGTTTGGTTTGGTTTGGTTTTTTGGGTTTTTTGGTTGTTGTTGTTGTTGTTGTTGTTGTTTGGTTTTGGTTTTTTTTTGTTTTTTTTTGATTTACAGCCTCCTCTACCAAGACAACTTATGTCAGTTACAGCAATCAGGAAAACTGAGCAGGGATGAAATTCACTGGAAGATCTGCAGGACTGGATCTGGCAAACATAGACTTTACCACCACCAGAATTCAGTCTTGAAAATATCAGTAGACTACATTCAAATTGATAGTCAGTCTCCTAAAGAACAAGGATTAAACAAAAACAAAAGGCAAAAAGAGACAGGAGAAGGAAAAGTCCAGTTTTATAACATAGAGTGTCAAGCTTCTGAACTGTTCACTCACAAAAGGAAGCAAATCACAAAAGGAAAACAAATGTTAGCTTGTGAAAAAAAATGCTGTTGAAATAAATCATGTCTGATGTTATATTTGTAAGTACTTTTTTGTGATTGTGACAATTTCCTTTCCTGTCCTACATTGTTCAACTCGTAAAAGAAGATGAGTTTATTTCTTGTGATGGCTGACTGAATTAAGTCCTGGGTTATGCTAAAATAAATGCAATGGTCAATGCATGCTAATTTTTATACAAAATAATT